AATTATATTTTATGAATTTTATATTGTATTCTGAGTATTTATAAAAAACAAAACTAATCATTAGTATAATAAATAAAATAAAAATAAATATAGATTAATTGAATTGTTCTCCACAGCTCTTTTTCTAATTAAAAACCGTCATAGTCGTACCTCATTGCACTTATCGGTACCTACATGCTTGCGATTTATGTATGTATGCATTTACATTTAATCGATTTCCTTGAAGAATACCTAGAAGAAGTGTCAGAGTAACAAAAGACAGATCAAAATAATTTAAGTACCTATAATTTAAAAAATACGGAGGGGAAGAATGGTTTGTGATTATAAATTATGTAATGCTATAATACTGTTAGTTTATAATGTTACATATTGGTTATTGTATTTTTACTTAACTTGTGTTAACTTTTAAATATTTTTGAGAATGTAAAATTTCTTTTAGTTGATATTTTTTTAGATCGTTCTCATTATATCGAATGACTCCCACACCTAAGCGAAGTAAGATCTTCAATTACATTTATATATTTATACATATATATTCTAAAAATATGAGTATCGCATGTATTCCCTTGTAAATAAATTTGAACAAAAAAAATTCAAATTCATGGGAATAAATAATTTCGTGATTCAAGTGATTGTGGTATTTAAAATTTACGGTTGCATATTGATTCAACATTTTTCTAAGTAATAGAAAATGAAATTTTAACGAAATCTGATACTTAAACGAATTTTCAATAAACAATCATAGTTATTTATTTCAAAATATTTTATTTTTTCAAAAAAAATTAAATTAAATGTTTGCTATTTATAGGTATTTAAATTTTAAATGTAATTTTTGTGAAAGTTAGAACAAAGTATTACAATAATACTATTACTTGTACATTACCCGACTGTGAAGTTTCTACCGATCTCAGAGTTTAGCCCTTTTTTTGATTGAAATTCATACATTTTTTTTATGTTTAAATGTTTCTTTGTCTAGAATTTTTGTTCCTTGGCTTCTTAATGTGATATACGTAACACTTTACATATTTTAAAATTTCATTTAATTTAAATTCGTACGGATAATATGAATTGAACGAACTCCGTTTAATTTTCTATGAAATGATTCACGATTGTTTGTTATATACACTTTTGAGGATATAATTTCGGCTCATATCTGTAGTGAGAACTCAGCATTGTTAGTTATAGGTATATGTTTCAAACATGTACCTAATCCATCAATTTTATTATTCTGTAATTTTGTAATAACTATATCATTATATCAAGCCCAAAACAATATTCAATCAAATCGCAAACTAAAAAGAAAGACTAAAAAAATGTTAAGAAAATTACTTATTTCAATATTGCCATGTTTATGCATTATTTTTGCATTATGGATAGCCTTTTCAAAATCAGTATACAATCGAATGAAACTGAATTACACACAGGGACGGCGCTAGGGTTTGCGAAGTCCTGGACAATACACTATTACGAGGCCCTACATTAAAATTATTTTAATCTTTATCATAGGAAGGATTGTGTAAAAAAAAAAAATTAATAAATGATCTTTTAAAAAACTTTTGTCGATTTAATAATAATAATAAAAATAATAATATTACGAATACTAGAATATTGTATTCGTAAATTGTATTTCAGTTGGCCTCTTGGTATTGGATATTACTAAAAACATTTTTTTCTTAATTTTTTTGAAGCGAAAGTTTCTAAATATTTTGGTAGTCAATGTTGTTAGATATTTCTTGTTTAATAAATGTAAGTGCAAGGTCTGAAAGTTTATCTTGGTTTAATTTATTTCGCAGGTACGTTTCGATTAATTTAAGCTTCAAAAAATTTCTTTTGGCCTAAGCAGATGTACCTGGTATCGTTAACATGATTGTTAAAGCAATAGATATGCTAGGAAATGAATCATTCGTCTTTTTTAAAATACTAAGAGCTTTAAGTGGAGTTGCATTGTCATCAATCATCATACGAAAAATAAGTAGTTCTGAATATAAGTCAAGTCCTTACAAATCATTCAGATCACCATCGGATAATAATACTAAGTGTAAATATTTACAATATTTTTTGTAGTTCATCCTTTTCCATAATTTTTACTTTACCTATTTGATACAAAAATCTAAAGTTATTCGAATATGATTTCAACTGTTCAAAACGTTTATTAATAGATTCTATTGATCGATACAACAACTAGAAAATAATCAATATGAAAACGATCTACTTCATTTAAAATTGGTTTATCGTTATGTTCATAACAAAACATCTTTTTTTCCTTCCTTATACGACAACGCTTAAAAATAACTGGGATATCTATTTCTGAAGCCAATTTATTTGCTATATTTTTTGTATTACAAATTTACTTTTAAATGTCTTTATTAGAGTCAAACGCAAGGCCTTGATAATATTCTCAAAAGTGCGAGGCCTTGGAAAATATCCCATTTGCCCTACCCTAGCGCCGTCCCTGATTACACATAATGGTTACTATTTTTGCACTCTAAAACCAAATATTAAAATGCATTGACATAGCATTGTCAAGTCATTAAAGGTTGTAAAACATAAATGAGCGAAACATGAAAAAGATTAATATTGTACAATGAAGTGTAAATAGTAATAGTGTAATAGTTCATTATATAATTTTGAACAATTTTTGAATAGTCTATATACTAATTCATCGATATACAATATACATATATAAATATACGATATATACGATATATAATATACATTTCAATAGTACCTGGTACTCAATTTACGTATTTAGTAGTCAATTTAGAAGTTTTGTTGTCTGTAATGTTGCTATTATCGATTATAGTCACTTATTGAGGGCCTCGACTTAATTGGCGTACAAATTATATGAACTACGTAAATAATATTATAAAGTATAACAACATAATTTGTGTAATATTAGTCATTTTCGCAGGGACCCTATCTGTTATTACTAGTGGCGACGTTACTGTAGATTTCACGCGGCAAGTTGTACGCTTAAAAACAATCATTTTATCTCAATACCTTAAAAATATAAATGATTTATGTATATTTATTATTGAAATGAATTTATCTTCAAGCTATCCAGATGTATTAACTGCATGTCTTTTATTTTTAACATTACCAATAACTGTTGCGTCTGCAGAACGCAGCTATTCTAAGCATAAAATAATAAAAAAATTATCTTCGTAATTCTTTATCTCAAGATTGATTGAAAAATATAAGCATTTTGAATATAGAAAACAAACGAATACAAGAACTCAATATTGATAAAATTATAACAGACTGTGACATGCAAATGCTAGAAAAAAAAACTTTTTAAAATAATTTAAATTTAAGGCGAATTAATAAATTGTTGATTATTATGTTGTAATTGATTGGTTGTATTAAAAAAATAAAACTATGATTAATAATATTAATTATATTTAATAATTTTATAACAGTTGATATCAATAAAAAAAAAAAAGAATTAAATGCATGAGTTAAAATTAGTGATTCCTCTATTAAAATTGATTATGGATATTTTATGAGTTTTTTATTAAATAACTATTTTATTTAGTTAACTATAAAATTTATAATACAAGCTTCTTCTATAATAATTTAGTATAGTATATGAAATATACTATATATATATCAGATTACAGATGATTCAATTGAAGTTATAATACTAAAAATACCTAGTAATTGCTCTAGTCATACAAAGATCAAGTAAAAAAATGTAATATTAATTTGGGGCCTCAAAATAAATCCTTGCACACGAGTCTTAGAATTCATAATTGCGACACTGTATGTTCCGAATCATCAGGAAAAGAAAATCTTTCAGATAAATCTAAAACTTAATCGAAATTGTGACCTTTTAGAGCACGTGATACGTTAGTCGGCATTGAGTACACATTTTAAATTGTCTACGGAAGTACCTACATTATAGTTTACATTATAAGCTTTTATAGCATATAAATAATAATTTAATAACCAATATTATGTGTAAACTATATTGCGTACATTATTATAGATTACGCGTTATGGTTCAAACAACTGCCTGACAGTGCCGGTTCGACGGTTTTCGAGGCCCGGTGCAGAATTTTGCGGGGCCCCATATATATATTAATTTATTGATTTATTAATTGTTTATAAAAATCTACGTTTGTTCATGTTATTATATAACTAAATAATACTTCGTACCGTCGTTGACGATAAACAATTTTACAAGTGCAATACTTCAAAGCTATGCGTAATTGGTACCGTCTTAATTTTCGTCGATAACAACCCGTTTCCTGAGAAAACCACAAGACCACACGGGTTGCGATTTGCGTACTGGAACTATATTATTTTTACTTATAGATAAATTGATATTCGTAATACACAATTTGAGGGGGTCCCAAATAAGCGCGGGGCCCGGTGCGATCGCACGGCTTGCCTTCCTCTAGGGCCGGCCAGCACTGCTGCCTGAGTACAACCTATTTATTACCCATTGATCACCATTGACCATCAACAAGTATCTGCAACGATATGATTCATATACGTTATAAATATAAAATAAAATATACATTGCTGCCACAGCACGTCATAGACATTGGATTCGGTGACATTGACAAGATTATTTGCATACCGACGTGAATCATTACATCCGTGAGAGGTGTGTGACTGAATATTTTTACGAGATTCGTGTAGGTATATGTCGCAGCATTCTAATTTTGATTATTAGCACTGCTAGATATTGTTGTGAGCGTAACATTTTCGTCCGATTAAGACTGCTGAATATAAACTGCCAATTAAAAAAAATATATCTTTTTGCTAAACTCAATCTGGAATCCATAATTTCTGTATAATCATGACGTCAATGAATTGTATGTTTTTTTTCAGACAATTTTATCAATTATATAACATTTTCAATAATGTTTTTACATTTTTGCCAATACAAACAATAGTTGAGGCTGAAGTGATTTTTTTTTTTTGATAAGATAAATATTTTCTTGAAAATCGAGCAAATTAGGTCATTATTAGAATAAGGTTCGCGCATAATTTGCAAGCTATAAAAAAAAAAAAAATCGACTACAAAGTATTTCACTGTTTTAGTACTCGACATTATTCTTGAATACTATGAGAGCTTTGTACGATAACGATTGGTATCATCATGTAACCAACGCACTCCGTTGCACTCAATATCCTGTTATCACCTTAATCTATATTTGATAAGAACTTTTGAATTTTTCAAACTGAAAAATTAAAAATCATGTCACATTAAACATTTTTTCCCACAAAATTGCAAATATTTCATTGCTTTTTCTGCAAATATTTACTTCTTTATAATCATTTATGCTTATTTATTTTTTGATCATAGTATAACGGTTATATGTTATAATAATTCATAATATAGTATCCAGGTTTTTTTTTTAATTTTTAAAATGTCAGAGAAAACAGCTTCAAGTAAGGTTCGCAAAAAAGCCAATCCGTTGTTTGAAAAATGGATTTCCGAATGGTTAAAAGAAGCTACTGAAAATAACTTGGAAGTTCGTCACGGTTATCGACGGGTAAGTTAAAAATTTGTTTTCTAATTATTTTTATACTTATGCCTATATATTATATTATACTTTTTCATATTATGTTAATATTTTTATTTTGATTAGTTGTTAAAAAAAAGGGTAAACACAATTTATACTTGAAAAAACTGTACATATATGTAGAAAGAAAACATTTAATTTTGTTAATCATAAAATATCTGTATAATATAATTAATATATTGTTACAGGCATTAAGTTCATTGCAAAAATATCCATTGCCATTAAAGAGTGGAAAAGAATGTTTAATACTAAAATTTTTTGGTCCAAAATTATGTTCTAAATTAGATAAAAAACTTGAAGATCATAATAAATTATCTTTAGATATTGGTAATGCTAGAAATACTTTTTGATATTTGTTACATTTCCTATATTAATTAAAATTATTGATTATAGATGAAAATATGATTGTTGATACATCTGAAAATATGAAAACTTTTAATGATTTACAACCTTCAACAAGTACTAAAAAACCAAATTCAGTAATTTCTTTGGATGACAAAGACTTACCTGTAAGTAAAATTAAAAAATAAAGTACTATTATAAAATTGTTTAGTAAAATGTCTACTCTAATTCATCTTAACTATAACATTTGAAAAGGTACACAATTTTCCAAATTGGAATAGTTTAAATGTTATAAATTATGGCTTATATAAGTCATACATAGTGACAATACTAATTCTACAATACTATTAATCATTTAGAAAAATTACATTTATTTTCAGTTAGCTTATCATTGTTGAGTAAACTATGCATTTTAAATTTAAACTAAAAATAAATTACAATTTATGTTTAAAATTATTTATAATATAATTGAAGTTTAATAAAATACTTTGTATATTTTAATTTAATAATTTTTAAATAGATGATTAATTCTATTACTGATGAACATGAAAAGATTGTTTTGTGGCCAAATGAGTTTACTATTGTGTTGCTCATTGATACTGGTGAATCAAGTAGTTTACGGTATGTGTAATATTTGATAATATATTACTAATATATACTATAATTGTTAGTTGTAATATGTAACTAATATTTATATATTTATAATTATTTATAATATATACTTATGCTATAAGTTTTGAAAAATATGTTCTACATTGTTTTCTTGTTTGTTTTTCACAATAGGAAAACCAACATGAACAAAGTTACTTCAGAATTATCATCTTTAAATGTAGTTTTTGAGATGAGACGCTTGAGCGTTGGAGATTTTGCTTGGATTTGTCGTGATAAAAATGGAAGAGAACTTATGTTACCATATATATTAGAACGAAAACGATTAGATGATCTATCAGGTAGTATTCAAGATGGTCGTTTTCATGAACAGAAAGCAAGTATTTTTTATTCACTAAATATTATGTAATTATAACTAAATTGTAATATATATATAGTTTAGATTAAAACAATGCGGACTTGAAAACAAAATATACTTAGTTGAACATGAAAAAAAATATCATGGATTACCGATATCTCATTTGCAACAAGCATTGGCAAATACAGAGGTCATCGATGGTTTTACAGTAGTCCGTACAGAAAATCATTTGGAGTCCATGAGATATATTGCAAATTTTTCCAATATACTTAATAATATGTATAAAGTAATTATAATTATACTAATTATACTATTTGATATTGATCATAATTTGTTTGGTAATTGATCAATATTCTTTATTTTAATAGAACAAAATACTTACAACTCATATAGATAAAGTTGACTCAGGTTATGGCGATTCTTCAGACACTGTAAAATTAATGTCTTTCAAAAAATTTTCATCAAGTTCTGCAAAAAACAAGGTATATATACAATTGATTAAAAAAAAAGATTATTTTTAACAAAGTTTATTTATTTTACAGAATTTGACTGTACGAGATATGTTGATACGACAATTACTTCAGATCCGAGGATTGTCCATTCATAAAGCATTTGCAATCGTCAAGCAATACCCTAGTCCAAAATTACTGATAAATGCATTTATAAGATCTGGCGATCCACTTTTACTGGCAAATATATCCTATGGTATACCGATCAAGTCCGTTGGACCAACTATTAGCAAAGCTGTGTTTCAAATATTTTCAAATAATAATCCAATTTAAATTATTATTATTGTGAAACTAAATAATACAATTATTAATTTATTTCGTGAATTATGTAATATTGTATAATTTAAAAATATAATATTTTTGTGTTATGATGTATAATTTTTACTTTTTACTTCAGTTTCATTGAGACGTGTATATATACAACTTTTTTCTTTATATATATGTATATATAAATACATACTATGTGTTTGATATGGAATGTCGCCAAACTGTGAGAAATATCTTCCCACACCTTAATAATAAATTCTATTTTTAAGCCATCCAGTTCACTACTGCCAGTCATTCTGTTTTTCTCCGTTTTTAACGAATTTCCTTCCAATCTAGTAAAATATAATATACCATTTCAATATTATTTATTCTCTCTTCTCATTAAGTGTTATTATTTTTATAATTATCGTGTTTGTTGCTAGTTTAGTGTTTTTTAATGTCAGGCAACACTCAAAGAACGACATATCGACCTCCATGGGTGAAAGATGGACCTAACCCTGTGCCGAAAGCTACTGTACCATGGAGAACTAAAGATAAGTCTGCCACTACTCTCGACCAACCGGATGCGGTATTATTTATATATTATTTTGCAATGCATTTTAAATAAATGCACTTAATAGTGTTTGAAAATAAATACTACGTGTTGCTATTTTTTTTTTCATTTCATTTTAATAGACTGACGAAGTGAAACATTTTAAATTGAGAAAAGTCGGACCTACCGAAGGAAGAAAAGTTACTGAGATAAAAATCGTACCTAAGGTAAGAAATTATTATTTTATTATATTAAACGATTTAAAACTGAAATAATTGGATTATAATAATATTTCTACTTTAAGTGCAATTTGGAAACACGATATCATTATACCATTTGAATTTAAATATAAGTAAACTCCAATATGTATTTATAAATATAAGGGAATCGGCATAGACTCCTTTTCGCGGGCAATTAATTAAAAATATCATGATTCAACAAATTTCATGTAAATAAAACTAGAGAATTCATATAAAGTAACCGTTATTAAAAATGCACTTATCCGACTATCATGAACTTTTTTAAATCGTTAATGAGATTTGTGAAAAATCAAAAAAAAATTCGATTATTTGCGGCGTTAATTAAAAGAAATAAAATAAACTTAATAGATGAGACGGACAACCGATGGAGTGCAATTCATTAGATTTCATTGCACTAAACGAATCATCTTTACACAATACAATAATCAAATGTTGACGATATCAAATTATCTGCCGTTTGGAAGGAATAGTTTTAGAGTATCATGAAAATAAATCAAAAGAAAATTCGCATTCATATGTGCATATAGGGTAGGTCAGTGGCGTATTTTCAAATTTTTTGTGGGGGGGGGGTCTAAATATTAAGTACCTATAAGTTTATAATATAAAAAAAAAACACATACGAGTTATGATGTAAATATGTAACAACTATATTATTTATATTAAATTATGTATATTTCACTACTATTATGATTTATTAATACAAATTAATAGTTTTTTATAATAAAAAAGGTAAACGTCTTTTTTTCCTCGCCAGTTCTACAATAACTTCTTCCGGTTTTATTGAGTAGTTTTTATTTATTGATAACATCGCTAAACCGTTCAATCTTCCCTATAAACAAAAAAATAAACAAAGTGTTTAATTGTAATTTGTAAATAACAAGAATATTTTTTTAAGTTTATAATAATTTACCTCGGACATGGAATTCCTTAGATACGTTTTTATTCTTTTTAAATTTGAAAATGTTCTTTCATTTGTTGCAGAGGAAACAGGTAGCGTGACTAAGATTTGAAGAAGTTTAAATATGTTTGGATAAATTGACTGGTTACACATAGCCATAGCCTCTAGAGCATTATTTGGTTTCTCTGTTGTTTGTATGAGTTTTCTCTGCCATAATTTGTATTCTGCTTCAATAATTTGATTTTGAGATCCATCATTCTACAAATCTTCAATATATTTATTTGAAAGAATTATAATATCTTCGATGGGACCATTTTCCCTAAATAGAGAATCGAAACCTGATAAAATCGATCAATGAACATTGAACCTTTCTTCTAACTCTGTAATAAATTTGTCAAGATAAGGAATACAAATTGATGCTCGATAATATTGTTCCGGAGTATTTAATGGTATATTGCATCTATTAGTTTGTTTTTTTGTTAATCTCGGAATTTTAATTTCAATATCAAACAACGCGACAAAAATAACCAAAAGTTAAACCAAAGTAAAAAAAACCCATAATATAAAATTAATATTCTCTTTCTCGGTACCTACATACCAAGTTTTTTTGACTTTTTAAATTTTTTTCTGGGGGGGGGTCGAGACCTGGGACCCCCCCGTAAATACACCACTGGGGTAGGTTAAGCTTCTATATATTGTTGCTATAAAATGGTACAGCGCTGAGCCTTTTCAGCTGCGTATGCGTATGATATAGTTAGCGATTCGAATTTACGATTGCATTTGAGAAATTTGGTTTAAATTGAATGGTATTGTTATACCGTTATTGTTATTGTTACTATAATTGATATAACCGCGGCCGCCGCGGTACAGAAGTAATTGTCGTTGTTGCGTATTATGATTTATGACCGCGGAGTTACCACAGCATTATTGCCGCCGCGGGGGTCAAGTAGATAATTTATTAGCTTGGTGATACATACGTACATAATTTATGCATATTATATTACGTGTACCGCGCGACCCGTCCGACCAGGGGAAGTAACCACAAGCGTTTGTTTTCATTTGTTTAGATTGATTCTCAAGGCCCGTTGCAAATTAACAACAAGCAACCCGTTGTAGCACCGGTCCCAGAAAAAGCGAAAAAAACCACCATCGCCACTACCACCATGTCGTCGAAACCCCCGGCTTCGACGAAGGAGACACAGGATTCTGCCAACGGTCCTTCATCTTCTGGTCTTCCGCCCCAACGCCCGACATTACCGTCAGCGCCACCGCCACCACCTCCATCCCCGCAACAGAGAAACATGCCGCCTGGGCCACCGCCGCCGCCGCCGCCGCCGCCGCCGCCTTCTGGTTCGGCTAGTTCCAACAACGGCCCACCCTTAAGTAAGGAACGCAACGTGACTGCATCCGATTTTCCATATAGAATGTACGTAACAGGAGAACAATAATACACGTCAATTAGCGGTTTTATCCGTTTATTGTCGCAATTGCCTGTACTAGTGGCGACCATCCAAATGTATCGACTGTTAGACATAATTTATCAGTGGTTCTACAAGTGCAAACATGGCACGTTTTGTAGGGTTGAATATTTTCCTGACTTCAGAGTCTGGAAGAGGACCGCCGGAATGTCTTTTAGGTACCCCAAAAAAGTACTTGGATGCTCTGAAAGGGTAGATATTTAAAAATATTTTATTAAATTCTATACACGTATCGTAAATGGATAATAACCGCCACTGTTTATAACTACATACAGCTCCATGTATTTCATAGCAATGAAATCGCCTAAAAACAACCGTTATTGTATAAACTCATTAAGTGAGCAATTTAATTTTGATAAGATTTAGATAGACCTCGAACTTTTCGATACTTTTCCTATAAAAAAAAACCTTAGAATTTTAAGTATTTGAATACTAGTGATAGTTTTTAGAAAAAAGTAAAATGTAAAAATATATACCTTATTTATCATATGTACAAGACACATTATTTAAATATCTAATTGATAATTGCAATGATATAAAAAAAAAGGTTTGGTTTCAGACAATGTTTTACTAGTAAAGTTAAATATAATCTTTAGGTATATTGTTTTTTTTTATTGTATATACATGATATTATGGTATTTTTTTCTAGTGAAGTGGTCTATGGAGGGATTTCGGTCTTTACACGGTTGCATGTTGGTGGAATCAAATAATAGTATTTATCCATCACTTCGATTTATTTATCAATTAGTTCACGTTTGGTTAGAAGTTTAATACTTCATTCAGTAGGTTATAAGCGATGAAAGAGTGAAAAAAAGACTTGGAAGTATAATATAAAAAATAAAAAAAAGTTTTTTTCGGTTTCTATATCAATTTGACATGAAAAAATAAATTTTAAAAAAATCTGTGGACGTCATAGATATTTTGGCATTTTGTAGCAGTCTTAGTTTTTTTAGAACACTTATAAATCCGACCCTATCGTTATAATCACAGTTTTATAAGAAACTCCGCGATTAAATATGAATAGGAAAGAGTTTCAAAGTTAATGAAAGTTTCAAGTAATTGATATTTTCTCAAATCATTATTTCCAGTGCAGTATATGGCCTTGTATATTTTTGATTTCAAATGTATTGTCGTTTAGAATATTAATATATTAAATAGATTGTAAAAAAACGTAATAATAATAACGAGTAAAATTGTTTTGTTTAATAAATATTGGTGAAAATAGTTGCTTTATGAATTTATTATTATAAGTTTTATTTTAAAATAAAAAAAAGACATAAGAATTACATCTTAAATATTTAATATATTTTATTCATCGATTACAATTTTAAAGAAAACAAAACATAGTAAAAAAAAGATAAAAATTAATTTGTGAAAATATTAGATTTAACGAAAGTCATTATTATTAATTTATAACTAATTTAAAATGTTCGTTTTTATAATTATTGTATAAATAAAAACAAATTCATTAATGAAAATGAGTGTGATAAATATATATTTTTATTAATAGTACTTATTTATAAATGTTACCACCCACAACTATTTATTTATGTCCATGATATACATTCAAATAACATTTTTTTTTAAACCGAGTTTGTTAAATTAAAATATTCTTGTTCAATTAAAAGCAATTAAATTGAAAATGTATAATCGGAAAATCACTATAACCCAATCAATCATTTTTAAAATGTGCACTGTAGTGCCATTTAATATACAGTTTTAAACTAGATTGTTGGTCTTATTGTTACTAGAATATTTATATAGTTTATTTTAATTATTTAAAAATTGATAGTATTTTGATTTTTGTATATAAATCATTATTGGTGTAAAATTTCTAAAACTTACAATAAAAATAATTTGGATAAATTCTAACTAATGAATGATATAATAAAATAAGATCTAGGTCGGACACAGAAAGGCTTCCTTCAAACATCTCTTAATTGGCCATAGCCCAAACAAGTTAGATCAATTTGAATTATGTGAAATTATATGAAACAAAATATATATAAATTTGTTCATTTTAATACGATGTTTTTTTATTTATTTGTTTATAATTTATATAATTATTTATATTACATATTAGTTAACTCATTAATAGAAGTTTTATTTATTATATAGGTAGGTAAATTATTTTATAACAATTGATAACTTAACGAACTATAAGACAATGTATAGGAAATTTAATTTGTATGTATTCGTTGATATGATAATCATTAGTCTATACATAATTACGAAAAATGAAAAAATGTCACTATAATTATCCATAATGTAACAAAATTATGTAATTTTTCATCAGCCCAAAAGGGAAAAAAGCAATATTGTAAACTGAAGGTCAAAAAATGTCAATATATAGATATGAGTCTATACCGTAATGTTGATGACTATAATGAATGCAAATATAGTGTTGGAAATGTTCCAATAAAAAAGTTTAATTAGATTAGCTAGTAAGTTCGATAAGAATGAATAAGCCGTTTATATAAATTGCTATTGTCATTTATGTATCTGAGCGTGGCGTGTTCTTGTTAAATTTTACAACAGGTATTAGAACTAATAAGTGTTAATATTCAAAATTGTTTAGCAGTAAAACCACTAACGCCAGAAAAAATGAAAAAGTTGGAATCTCTACGAAGTCGACCAAGAAGACGTCCCGACTGGTCGGACATGATGAAAGAAGTTGAAAGTGGTAAAAAGCTTAAACATGTCGAGTGTAATGATCGCAGTGCTCCAATTATATCAAGTACCAAGTCCAAAGGACAGGTAAGTACTTATTGTTTTTTTTTTTTTTAATTCATTACCAATTTATGCAAGTTTTTTGAATGAATATCATTAAATTGTAAATATAATATTCAACATGATCTATACTCAGGAAATAATATCACAACAATTGTTTTAAATAGTTCTTATATGAATCCGAAACGAAAGCAGAAGAAACAGATCACCACCAACTACTGAAAGACATTCAGCATGGTGTTAAGCTTCGTAAAGTAAAAACGAACGACAAGAGCAAACCTTATATAGAAGGTAAATTAGTATATCAAAACATTGTATTTAATATTTTAAGTAGAGATTAATCACAGCACTGAATAATTTATAAGGCTAATAAAATTTTTTTTTATTTTACATATAAATATAATTAAAAACACATATAGTTATTTTAGTATTACAAAAAATGCAATTTGATTTTATCATATAAAAATAAAAAATATAAAAATCCTGCGAATTAAATAATGAAAAAATAATTGCTCTAAATATATATTTTTCATAAAGATTTATCTTCAAAATTGTATGTAAGGAACGGATTTATATGTAAATGCATATATGTATTGGATTACATTTTTTGAAATCTGATGAGAATTGTCCTCGATTTTGATCATTCATATTAAAATAACATTAATTTTATTTTGCTTATTTTGCATATTTGTAGTTTTATAGTGCATAATTTTATTCATAGTGCATATATTTTTTTACCTTATATTTTCATGTTTATAGCCACATAATATAGATGAAATAAAGACCGTTTATTATAGCCAAAAATAAAATGAAATACTCGTATGTAATAAACAACTATATACAAATTATATTAATATAGATATATCCATATGATAGAGTTAAACACTTGAACTTGACGGAATTACGGAAACAAATCAGTCAGTGCATGTATTCGTGCATATATTTTTACGCATAAAACTGTCGCAGTTTTTGTGTCTAGTGATTTTTTTTTTTTTATTATTCGTTCCTAACCTTAAAATGCCAAAAGAAAAAACACTAATTATGAGTCGTTTACAGATATACGTAAATAAGCATCAAGATATTTTTAAAATCAATGTTTTAATTTTTTATTACAATATTTGTGAAATTTTTACATAATTAAAAAAAAATATATTTTTAATTTAATTTTAAGTGCATATTTTGTATCATATTGTTAGCATTTTTTGGAGCATATTTTGATGATCTTTGGTGCATATAAATCCGTTCCCTAATTATATGATATAAGAACAGTAGTTAGTGGTCTGAAATATGAACAAATTAATAATTATACATAGTCATAATTTTATTAAATTATTAAATATTTATTACATTTTTCATTTAACATTTTATTTGTTAATTATAACTAAGGATCAGATTTATGTGTAAATTTTTTATTATTTTTTTTATTAAAACGAGATATTTAAGATTCGATAAGAAATGTTCATGATTTAAATCATTCCTATAATTATGATGCTACTTTAATTTTACATATTTTTACATATTTCACTAATTTGAAAATATTTTTAAACATATTTTATCATATCATTCATACATCTTCTTCGTACGAAAATACAAGAAATTATTTCAAATTTAGATTTAGTAACTTCTATTGCTATTAGAAAAGCTCAAAATATAATGCAAAATGAAAAATTGAAAACTAATTTAATTTTCATCTCAGTGAATTTAACTTTATTTCACATAAATTTACAAAATTAGAAACAAAAATATGTCCTTAAATGATAGTATGAAAATTGTCGAATTAACGATTGAAAAATTAAAACTCGTAAGCGGACCAATAGGAGATATTGTAAAAAAGAAAATTCATGCTATTACAGAAAAAAATTCCAGGCTATATTGATTTTAAATCAATCAATGATATTAAATCAAGTAATGAGTGGCAGACACACTTCTAAAAATTTGGAATTATCGCTTTCTGATAATATGCGCTTCAAATATGCTTCAATCAACCGATGTAGGTTGATGTGGAACGATAATTTAGCCGTTTTAAAAATATTTTCAGATCTAATGGGTGACATTTAATATTTGATAATTTAAAAGATATTGTAATAATTTAATGTAACAAATAATTTTGATAATTTAATAATTATAATTTTTTTTTTTTTTAATTAAATTTCTTTCCTACATACTTGGATGTTTTTAGCACATATTTTATAAACTATACTTACATATATATGTATATATTTCTGTATTTTTATTACATATAAATTCGTTCCCTAATTATAGATATTAATAGTAAATATAGCCAGAAATAGACAATCTATTAATTATTACTAGTTTTATAAAAATTCTAGAATAATATATAGTTAAACTTATATAGTTCAAAACTTTGAGAGTTATCTTATTGGAATTTATTAAATATATTTGAGTTTTCAAAAAATAATTTTTTTAATATATTTTATTTAGTTGATAAAAAACCATAGATTGTAAATTTTTATCTGTTTTATAAACTTATAAATATTAGTACATTTTAAATTTACATATAGGTCTGAGAAAATTTAGAAGACAAGAATCTATTGTAGAAAAAATACAAAAGTCCGTGTCGATGGCTGATGTCGTGGCCGCTGCAGCAGAACCCGACGAACTTGATGATATTGATAAAGTTAGTTTAGTTATTAACACTAATTCAGTTAGTTTATTTTTCTATTAACTAATTGATTTGTAGGTGAGAGATGATTTGCAATCAGCCAAACAAATGCTAGCGTTAGAATTACGAAGCAAAGAGGCCTTAGAACGAGAGAATAAAAGGCTTTTAGCTAGAGTTTCTAACCTACAAGAAGAACTTAAAGATAAGTCGAGCACTTCAGGACCCCAGGCGAGATCAGATTCAGACCAACAGGTATGTATCAATGATTAAGAATATGACCGGTGCTAAATTTGACAAAGCCCTAGGCCAATTTTCTGAGAGTTATTGACAAAGGACTTATTAGTCGTGTAAAAAGATAGACATACAATAATCCCTTCTTTCATTTTATTTTATGTAATTTTTTTTTTGGTGAAATATTACTATCTTTTAAGTATTAATAGAAATTAATAGATACCATTTAAATAATATCCAGAATTCAATATTTTCGTACTCAAATTCAATACCTAGTAATATAATTTATTAATAAGTAAAATATGCACATATACGAAAATACACTTTTAATATTTTCAACTTATGCTTCACTTTACATTTACATTTCACTTCACTTTATTTAAATGCTCTTAAATGCTTATAATAAAATCCCTATCTAGTTTAAACCTTGACCAATAATAACCAGATGAATGAATATATTTCAAGTGATCGTGATGTATGAAATATTATTATTAAATATTGTATTTAAATATTTATTGCAACTCAAATTTTTATCTAACAATTTTAAAAAACTATAATCACACAAACAATAAAATCAGTAAAATATAAAAATAATAAACCGTTACAGTATTAGTATTTTTTTATGATTTGAAAATTTAAAATAAATTGTCTCACTTTAAAATATTTGCCAAAGCAATCAAAATAAAATATTATTTTTGAGTTCAATGATTCATAGATCAATTTGTTATATATTATGCGATCATTTAAGAGTGTAGACAAGTATGAAATTCTAAATACTAATAATAATAGTAAAATATGTAGATGGTTTATTAATAATATTAAATTAAAATAATGTAATGGACCGTTTTTATAGCTCATCAACAAATTAAAAGAAGAAGCATTAGAAGCTGATCGTATTGTTAAAGACATGGAACAAAAATATCACGTGACTGCAGAAGAACTAGATAGCACTAGACGAAAATTGGAATGTGCTTGGCTTAGAAATCAGAAACTAGAATTAGAATTAAAAGCTGCTTTGTCGAACAAAGTGGTGTCTCAACAGCCAATTCCTCGAACGATTTCTATGAAAAAGTTGTCTGTTATGCCATCCGTCGAACATTTATCTGAGGAAGAAGAGATAGAAGAAGAGGAAGAGGAGGAAGAAGACAGCTCTGATGATGGTTCTAGTGATGCGTCACAGGAAATCGATGAAGCTCGTAGGTCAGCTAGAGAATTGAAACTCTTAGAAGTTAAATTAAAAGCCGTTAAAGACAAACAGATGTCTGCGGTTAAAGAACGAAAAATACTTAAACAAGCATTGACGAAGAAACAAACGGAACTAAAGGCCGAAAAAAAAAAATACAAAATGCTACAAAAAGAAGTGGATAAAATGGCAAAACTTATGAGAGACACTGAAGATGATGAAGAAGATGAAGAAGAACAAGAAGAAGAAGAATCGGAGGAGGTAAATTTACTCTTTTTGAAACATTTCGGTAGAGAAAATATGAAAAACTTCGTGTTTGTATTTTCAGGAGAGTGAATCATCGGAGAGTGAAGAGAGTGATGATGATCCGCAGAGCGAAGGAGAGGCTCCTGCATCAGCCACTCCCGAACAGAAAAAAGACAACTTGTGCCGTCGGTTTAAATACTACGAAGGACGGTTGACATCGTTGAAAAAAGGAAATTACTTGCTCAAAGCGAACGTAGAACGACTCACCGATGACGTGAATAAGCAAAAAGAAATGTCTCTAGTATTACAAGAAGATTTGAATTCTGTCTTGGCCGAACTCGGATGAAAATATTCAGAAATTACTCATTAATTTCGCGTAAAAGAAACTAAAAAAAAAAAAAATGAAAAAAAAATACGAAAACTATTTCAAAAATAATATTATTATATTTTGTGGCATGCATAATCCGTTGAACAATGCGATATTTTAACAAAATAAATATTATTTACAGTAATTTGATTTTACAGCATAATGCTTAATTGACAAATCGATATGTTTCAAGAAGAAAAATTATGTACGTGCACTGTCGTTATCATGTACGTTTATTGTCGTGTACAATCGTTATATTATGAAGTGAAGTTAAATTTGATCACGACTCATTCGCAATACTAATTCGTACACGTACCTGCATAACTATACTTAATTATTTTTTAAAACTACATTCTACTGTTGTGTATTCTATGCTAAGATGTATTTTACGGTACCCAGTAATTGTTACTAGTGTAATGGTTAAGTGGTCGCGTAACAATGTTATTGTTGTTGTCGTGTTTTTACCACGGATCATTGTCCCTAATGCGCGTTAATACTCGTGTTATTAGACTTTTTCTTCAAACCCAAATATCCGGTAATCGAATTTTCGCCAACTGCCTGGATGTACTGTTATAGCAATAAAACAGATTGCTGTAGTGTTTTATTTTAGAGCAATTTATTTTTAATATTATTAATTACAAAGTTATCCTTTTCAATTATCATTAAATTGATAATACAGATTTAAAACCGATATGTGTTTAATTTCCTATATTATAGGACCTATAACATTAATGCCTCTACATAGTTTCGGATCGTACACATTATAAAATTATACATATAATCTCTTATTATATTATATATTTTTTATCAAAAATTATCTTCTATATGATGCATACAACTTGAAATGTATATTGATAATTTACATTTACTCGTACCAATATACGGTAGAATGTTTTTAATATATCAAATATAAAGAACCTAACCCGCAATCATTATTAGGAGTTTTGTTTTACTCCGGACAGGAAATTAAGCTATTGTATCTAGGAAAATTCGGTAAAGATTTTAAATGAGGTAAAGAAACAACGTAGAAATGTGAATGAATGGGTTCGTCCGCAGACGGAAAGTAAATGGCTTTCTGCCTATGTGTAACTATTACAACTTTCCTAGAGGGTTGGATGTTATTGAGTATAAAAACGGTTTATAGACTCGGTGCAATTTCTTGGGCCTCGTATACGCCCCTTAATATAGTGAACTAAGCACTTACCTTTTGGCTTTTATTGTGTACAAAACATAGTATAAGATGTCCAATTGTAACTAACGTATCGAGAGAACAAATAAATACTTTATCGGGTCGAAATATATTATTTGAAATGGTTTGGTAAATTATTGGACGCATAGTTCCTGAATTTGTGTTTGTCTATATTGGAGTAAAATTTAAGTAAAACTATTGAATATTTATTACAATTTTTTAAATTGTTACAACTCATAGGTACCTAATACACGGATAATCCATATTGTTGAAATAAGTTATTATATATAAACATAAAACTTTTCACTCAATGAAATTGTTTTCATCAACTGGCCATTTCACTAAATAAAATTAATATTTTAAAGTCCTATAGAATAGTTTTTGGGTGACAAATATAAATTTATTTTTATTTCATTATGTAGTCGGCATGTTGTTGATTATTATATTAATATACCTGATTATGTTATGATTATATATTACCTGATATTAATTACATGATGTGAAATTGTGATATACATTATTATTAAAATTATTTTTATAAATAAATATATAAATCACTAAATCCAAGAAGGGCACATGTCCATAATTTTCATAAAATTACATTTTTACAGATTTTTGTTTAGATTCAACAATTACACTGTTCTGTGCAAACGGGATACATGTCCAGTTTACTGGCATATTATAAAATGATATTTTGTGTTAAATGCAAAAACGGCGTATGTCCTAGACATGTGACCTTTTTTGTCTCTTCTGAAAAATTTTAAAATGTGGACATGTGCTCTTCTTGCATTTAGTGATTCATATAGTATTTTTGCAGTAATTCAAAAAAAAGATAAAATTATATTTTACGGTACTTTATATGAAAATAATGTTGTAATTAAACATTTATAAGATTTTTGTATCAGTGAATTTCGAATATAGCAATTGCATTTAAATCAATTTATGTTGATAAATTATAACTGTACACAGCATTTATTTTCAAAAGATAAATTTAAGTATAGACTAGCGGTTTTCAACTCTTTTAGTTGTACTTTAGCAAAAAAAATTGTTGAGGCCCTCTTATAGCTATATATCAGTGATTCTCATATTTTTTCTCGTTTATGTCACCTTTAGCTACTAGGATAAAAAACCTCGTCACTCTAACATAATTCTTGAAATAACAAAAAAAAAAATACAGTATACAGAAAAATCATAAGTACACCTACAATTTATTTGAGTTGCAGGGTTCAATAAACATTGTAACCAATGCCGTAACTGGGAGGGATCCAGGGGTCCGGACCCCCTCCCCCCGAAATTTTCAAAAGTAGAAACATTTTAGCGGTGAATATAGTTTATTAACTATAAATTGTATTAAATAATAATGTTAGACTCCCTCCAAATTTTTTTTCCAGTACGGCCGTGTATGTAGTGATAAGTAATAACTGTGTACTATAGATAGGTATTTCCAATTGCAATAATTTACCTCTGTGGCACTGTCCATTATTGATTTCAAAATAATTTCGTTTGAGATGAAGATGAGGTAAGTGAAAATTTAACAGGGGGAAGCGAAAAACAATTTTCCAATGAACAAATCGAAAATGTATTGGATTTATCATGTTGCGTATTTTTATATATTTATTTATTTTTGTGTATTTTTAGAAGATTTCGACCTGCAGAATGATTACTCTGATCATCAATTTTTTTCTAATAGAATATAATTTATTCTATACATTTAATGTTGTTTAGTTGGTGCAGTTTAGTTAATCAGTAAGTAATTTTTTGAATTCTTAACAGTTTTCAAAATAATGGTGAAGCACTGGCGAAAGAGTACAAAAATGCAACTTATTCGGATTACCGGTTTTTGAAAAAA